GGGAATTCTTACGAGCTTTGCATTTGGAAATGCTAATGACGACCGTCTTTTCAAAATATCTCATTTTTTGAAGTTGTTCAACGAATGAAAAGTCCACCAAGGTAACGAACTCCTTCGAAAAAAACACCTTTACAGTTGCAAAATGAGGAGATTTTTTAGGACCACGCTGTATGTAGTTTCATATAGGCCTAATGTAATGTTTTGAGAAGAAGAATTGAAAGAAAGTGGGAATTTAGATCAATAAAACAAAAAATACAACTGCAGTCCACATGTGGACTGCATGGTCGTCAATGGGTTAACTCAAGACTATGCTTCAGGAGCAAAGAATATTTATTGAGGGGGAAAATGGTAGAGCTCATCATCACATGTTGTCAAAAGTTGCATGTTCTATGTATATTCGATGAACATCAGAAAGCCGATTTTTTATATCGAGCGTAAACAGTTTGCCCCACATGGACGTATCCCTGTAAATTAAGTGTTGAAGCATCCACAAATCTGTGACCAAGGAGTAAACCGACCGGTCGATCAACACCAACATTCACTCCGAACAAAGGTGAATCTTTGAAACAGTTGCGCATCTTGCCTTCAGGAGCTAAACGGAACCTGCAAAAAGCACGGTGAACTGTTTGCTTGAACTGAACGAACAGGCCACCGCTTTCTGCACTAAACTCACTCTCGCAATTTCTTCAATGGCTGCACATTGCTATCTTTCACACCAGTCTCTGGATCGACAGTGATCGCAAGGCATCTGAACAGACTGGTAGTTTATGATTTCAGAAAAATAGGAGTAGAAGCAAAGATTCACCTGAAACAAGGCCTGAAGCACTGCAAACGGACTTCTCCTATTTGTAAATCCAACCATTTATCTTCGTCCCATGCTGGGCATTCATCTATCACCATAACAGGCCGAAATTGAAGTGTGCTCACCTGAAATTTGTAGACTAATTACTTATAAGCAAACGACGTAGCTGCCCATAGTGGCACTGACACAATTTCTGAAAAGCCATTGTAGGCTTTATCTTTGTGGAGGAGAACAACAACAGACCATCGTCGTGACGTCATCTAACCATTCACACCTTTTATGAATCACAAAGCTTCACCTTTTTCTCCAATTTTGAATTCACATCGTCCAAGGATCTCTGTGTGGTTATCATCAACGGAGACGTATTTTCAAAGGCGCTCTGAAAGCTTCCTGAGATTATCGTATGAGCAAAAACATAACTGAAAAAGGCTATGATTATACTCGTCCAATAAGCTACAGAAAAGTTACTATTACGGCACAGTTCACAATAAAAATGACTTATGAAATATCCCTCTTGTATGAATCTGAGGCCCACTCGTACACCATTGAGAGTGATAAAGCTTTGAAAAAGTAATAAAATCGGGGGTTGTACAAGAATATGACGGCAAATGTTGCATGAAAGGGGTAATTGGACGAGCTGCCCAAATGTGCCCACCATTGCGTACACTTGGCTACAGAAGTTACTTGCGTGCAGCGGTGCGTCCCGGTGTGAATGATGCAACCTATCAGTCTCTATTAGAGCTACAGCCGTAAGAACTCTTCCGCCTTTGGGTCTAAACCTCGCCTACGCCAATCCTAAACCCTTTTAAGACCCCTATTATGCCCTTCCTAGGCCGTTTCTGGAAGCATCAGTGTCCCTTGTCGTATCCTCGTATCCTTGTGAGCCAACGGTTTATCTCAGGGAGAAAGCTCTGATGCAATTTTGATCGAACGATAATACTGAGGAGGTCAGACGCTGGCGAAAGCTTTCAGTGGGCTCATTGATATAATATAATCATCCCTGAATTATGGTTAATGAAAAATGCATTATCCAAAGCATAATTTGACACAAATGGGAACAACTTGAAATTCAAAAGGCAAAACGTAAATCTACGGGTAGTTGCTACTCCGTGGTATTAGAAGTTCTCACCTTCCTCATGTCTCTATTTGATATTTAGTCAGGGTTGTCACCGAAGTAGTCAACTTTTACTGACCCATCTGATCTGCACAATACCCGGTAGGCCTTGTTCATGGGAAAG